TGAAAAATCACTCAACAATTGCTTCAAATTGAAGGGGATGTAGGGATGGCTCAAAACATGAAAAGGTAAGAAACAAGGGGTCATTACAGAGCAAAGACAACTTAAAGTACTTGACACCATCCCCATATCTTTGTCTGATCTATGAACAAAGATAGAGAGATTGGGTCATATAGCTTGTGTGTCCTTGTGTTTTTTGTTTCAACTTGTGAGATGAATTTACCAGCACATCGAAGGCTAGCATCATCATAGTGTTGACAGTCATCATGGCTGTCTGCTCCTTCATAAGGACAATCAAAGATAGACTCTTCCTCTCCAGTGCAGCCCACATTGGCCATGTGTATTGGCCCATTTCCCTGACCATAGCTTGCATATTCACGCAGTCTAGGATCTACATACATTGAAAAAATATGACTTCTCGTTAACTTGATCTCTACTGCTTACATAAGAAGGGCAGCCCAAGCTGCCTACAGACAACTGTAGCATCTTGCATATCCCACGAGTGATCACATACCGTACCCCATACACTATTGAGACAGACTTCCACTCTACCATATCCCTCAGTGGAATTCCCACCAGCCAGACGAACAGCTCCACTCTCACACTCAGTTTCTAGAAGACAGAAAAATATACTAACCCTCGGTGCACGCATAGCGAGGTTATATAATTTGTGTTTGTTTTGTCTGCACGCTATTCTGGCACTACAGGTTACGTGGAGGCCCATGAGCAACAGCTTCAGAAAAGTGGAGAATATTTTTTCTCAAACCACAGCGTTAAAGAGTTATGGTGTGAAACATGAGTGTAAAAGCCAATATGCCAATCACCAATGGCTTATGCAGAGTCTGCCTTTTATTAATAGCCTTCCACTATATATAATAAACAGGACATTGTTTACACATGCACCTCAAAGGCACTATGTTTTTCCTTCTTATTTTTCCCAACAACATTGTAAAGCTCCAGCTGTCATTTGTCTGAAAACTCACAGCTCCTTAGTTATAGCCATTTATTTGGTATCGACCAGTTCCGTAATACGTGGAAAAAGAAACAAAATCGGTCAACGGGTTGATCGCGATGTGAAGTCTTGGTGTGAGCAGCCCCAACAGGTGCTCACAACACAACACAACCTGGCTGGCATTTCAACTCGCCTGAAAAAAATGCTTAAATTTACTGCATGGTGTGTGTAGCAAAAACACATCGAGAAGCACGTACTGTAAAAAAAACAGCTATAAACTCCAGGAAAAAAACATGTCTACAGTTCACTAAGGACTCCCATGGCTCATGGGCAGTTAGTGTCTGCAAAGAGAAAAGATAATGTTTATCAAATACAGCACACACCTTGACCATTTAGCTACCCGCTGCTGTGATTGGTGTGGACCACACACGAGAAAATTTACCACCACTGCTTCTAGCCTTTAGCTACCTGCATCATGTGTATTATAAAAGTCCAAAATTGGAGTCATTCTGAACTCTAGAGAGCAGCTCACAATAGCATAGAGGGTGCCGGCCACTTGGCACATTCTCAGCAGTGAAATGCAGTGAGTTTGTCATAGATGATAGAACAATCCTCTGTGAAGATTGAGTAGTACTATAACTACGACCACTGAAGAACCTGATCCTGTAGGTGTGCTCTAGAACACATCCATCTGGGACACCCCACGTCACCACACCACAGCAAGGCCTGCTTACATTCACCACATTCTCTGAAGAAATACATGGAAGTCAAAAGCTAATGTATGAGGTTGCAAACTAAACTTTCTGTTTCCTGACACTAATAATACTTAAACCAAACCTGGGATTGATGGTGATGTAGGGCAGAGATCTGTAAAATACAAAGGATCGTAGTGTGTGCTATAAAATAGGATGTTAACTCACTTCGGCAGACGGGGGCCTCACCAAGTTGAATCATTCATGCAGAATCTCGTTGACTGTCCCACCAACCCAAAACCTTCTTCACAAGAGTAGACTGCCGTATCTCTTGTCCCAAAGCCAGACAGAGTCACAGAACCATTGTGAGGTTCTTCTACTGGGTGACAAACTACAGCAGACAGTAGTCCAGGCATGGAACAGCAGATATTTAGACTCAATATTCTTACCATCCAAGTCAGTAATGGTCACCACAGCAATGTTTCTGGTAATCAATCTGCCATGAAACCCAGACAAGACTACAGTAAATGTCTCGTCTTTCTATACGCCACTATCATCACTGATGGGGACACTGACTGTTGCTCTATCCACTCCGGTTTCAAATGTTACCATCTCCATAAGTGACGAGTAATCAACACCAGCTATAGGAAGAGAGAGAAATTTATTGGCTAGCGAGGCAAGCCTACCTAGTTGTTTCAATGCCAGGAGTATTCTTAACTATCTGTCACTACTGTAATGGGTACTGTCACCATATGATTCTATAAACGCATTCTATATATATGCAAAACACACACGAAATATTGAACTGCTTGTGCTCGCTCGCCCACAATGTCTTGCATTCCTCTAGTTCATATTCTATTATTACAGAACACACCAGTAGCAGTCCCAGCTTCAGTGGTGACAGTAACAACAGTGGTTGTACTGAGATCCCCACTTCTGACAAGCACCAGTTCAGCAGCCCCGTCCACTCCCTCAGTCACAGTGTAGGAAGTGGGATTGAATGAAACAACCACTAAGAAAAGAAAAACCAATGAGCCATAATGTGTACATTATCTGTGTCATTAAGCTCTTACCGTTAAGACTCAGACAGGAGGCTGGAGGACTGTTATCCCAGGTCCCATCATCCTGGCAGGTAAGAACCGGAGCTCCAACCAACTCATATCCATCGTTGCAGGCAAAAGTAGCCGTGTCTCCCTCTGAGTTACCAGATTGTGATACCACACCATTGGCAGGATTACTGGCATCAGGACACAGAGCTGTTCAGAATGGAGAGAACACCATTGCAATAGTTGTGAAGGCTATTGGCGATTTGAAATTAACTCACGTTTACAGACTGGAGGATTGTTATCCCAGGTTCCATCACTCTGGCAGTTGATAACCGCAGGTCCAACCCATCATTACAGGTGTAGGTAGCCATGTCTCCCACTGAATTACCAGACTGTGATACCACACCATTGGCAGGGTTTTCCTCATCAGGGCACAGAGGCGATAGTGTAGAAAAAGAACAACATATTTTGAAGGACAAACATTATTCGGGAAACTCACGTGTGCAGGTAGGTGGAGGGTCATCCCAAGTTCCACCATCCTCACAGTTGATAACTGGAGTCCCAACTAGTTCATAGCCCTCATTACATGCATAGGTAGCTCTGTCACCCTCTGAATTCCCAGATAGTGACACTTCACCATTAGCAAGATTACCGAGATTGGGACACAGAGCTGTTAAAATAGAGAGAAAATGATGACGGGCACTCTGTAAGATTTGAAGCTCACGTCTACAAATTGGCGGACTATTATCCCACATCCCGTTGCTCTGACAGTTGAGAACTTGAACTCCAACTAGTTCATATCCATCATAACAGGTGTAGGTGGCAGTGTTTCCAATTGAGGTCCCGGTGAGACTCACCATACCATTGGACGGATTACCCAGAGTAGTACAGACAACTGTTAGAAGAAATGAAACAAAAAATATGAAGAATTTAAGAATGTGGAAAACCTACGTTTACAACTGGAGGGCTATCATCCCAGGTTCCATCATCCTGACAGTTGAGCACCGGAGCTCCGATTACTTCATATCCATCATTACATGTGTAGGTAGCTGTGTCTCCCTCTGATTTACCAGACTGTGATACCACACCAGGGGCAGGGTTGCTGAGATCAGGACACAGAGCTGTTAGAATGGAGAGAACACTGTTGCAATAGATGGTGCTCTTGAAGGATGTTGAATCAACTCACGTTTACAGACTGGAGGACTGTTATCCCAGGTTCCATCATTCTGGCAGGTAAGAACCGGAGATCTAACCAACTCATATCCATCATTACAGGTGTAGGTAGCCATGTCTCCCACTGAATTACCAGACTGTGATACCACACCATTGGCAGGATTACTCGCATCATGACACAGAGCTGTCATGGAATTTGCATTGTCATAATGACATTGAACACTTAAGAACCCACATCTGCACGTTGGACTCCTTCCACTCCACGTGGAGTCATTCGTACGCTCTCTGGTTGACTCTCCTACCAACTCAAACCCTTCATCACAAGAGTAAACTGCAATTGTGGCACCGCCGCTAACAGTGACCGACCCATTAGTAATCCCACCTAGGACTGGACAACTTACTGCAAGGAACAGTCAAGCGGATATACTGGCTGTAATGACTATTATAGTACGCTCACGATTATAATCATTATCAGCAATGGTGATGATAATGTAGCTGTAGATGGAGTCTACCACAGCCCTCGACGATTCTGACATGAGTGAAACAGAGAATGTCTCTGGATTTTCAACGTCCATGTCATTGATTATGGGAACATCCACTGTCCAGTTAACATTTCCACGGTAGATCACCACATAACCCATTACAGGCATAAAGTCACTCCCCGCTGTGGTAAAATCAATAAATGTACATCATACAACAAAAGATTGGTGAGAAGCAGTTTGGCAATGATAATAGTGGCTGGTTAGAATGACCACTAAGATATTTGAGTTGCCAAACAATATATCCTGCATGCCAATTATTTAATGGACCCTTACCATCAGCAGTTCCAGGAATCGCCTTAAATGTTACATTGTTAACTTCAGCATTAATGTTGCCGCCGAGTCTTGTTATTGTCAATGATGCAAAATGTACCCCTTCTGTTACAGTATATGAGGTTGAACTAAACCCAACAACTGTAGATATGAAAGCCAAGAGACACACACATGTACATACACACATGTACATGGCTCCCAGTAGTAGAGAGAGCAAATTACATTATAATTTTAGCAAGACTAATAGCACTACAGCTATGAGTAGTAATGAGTAATTTATATGAGACTGCATAATGTTTTCTAACCAAGAGTACAATCCAGCTCATCGTATCCATCTTCGCAGTCATCATTTCCATTGCACAAATAGTATGACGAATGGCACTCTCCCAAGGGGCCATCGCTTGGACACTGAAAATAGCCTTGTCTACATGTCACTGTATATAGGAAGAACGTATGCTAGGTATCCTGCATGGGCAGCACAAAAAAGCACTGTGTAGTAGTATTTATTTTCCCCACTGCTCTAGTGTAGCTCGAGTATTAATTGCTAATGTTACCTTCAGCTTAGGCTAGGCAAAACAACAGAGTCCTGACTCCAGATGTAAATGCAAGCTTGTTTTGGCCATGCATTCCCGTGTTTTTGGTGCATTGGGCAGATACAGCTCGTGACCTTGGTTACAGAAGTTGGCAGTTGATATGACCCCTTGTCTTGCTTGCTTGGACCATTAGTGCCACAGATTTTCTTTTAGCTGACCATGATAAAATGCATGTGTCAATAACTAGGTAGCGAAGTAAAAAGACAACGCAAAGCAAACAAGTCAACTACACCCAGGACAGCTCTTTCTTTCAAGGAAAAGAAGAAGGGCTGCCCTAGGTGGGATTCGAACTCACAGACACTCTGCTTTATACGCAAGTGCTCTACCATCTGAGCTACCAGGTATCATTTGCCAGGGGAATTGCAGAAGGGCTGCCCTAGGTGGGATTCGAACTCACAGACACTCTGCTTTATACACAAGTGCTCTACCATCTGAGCTACCAGGTATCATTTGCCAGGGGAATTGCATGACTTGCAATTTCTCACAAAGTAAACGGCAACAAAATGTGGCAACACGTATCCTTACCTCTGGTACAATTTATTTCATCATGTCCATAAGCACAGTC